TTTCCTTTTACCAAGACAATGTTATGCAATTGATACAAACAAGTAGAGGGATCAAAGATCCTGAGGGAAGTCTGTCCTCCCACCATTGCTGGAGAACTTGAAACTTTTGCTGTACAATGGTGCCTGATGCCCAGAACCTACACCAAGTGGAAGCGGCCAGTGTGGCAGCCTATGGCAACCTACCATCGACTAGCAATATTATGATAGGATGCCATGGCAAACACTCTGACCCCTGGTTGTATATGTGATGTGATGAAACTTCCTAAAAGGACCAGAAAAAGGGCAGCCACCAATGTCCTGGAGGTCTCTGCCCTTTCCTGGGGAATTCAGCCCACAGCCCCACCTTCTGTGAATATTCCATTTTCCTTGTCAGATACAGCTCATTTTCACATGTGCTCTTTTTTCCTTTGTTGTACCTTACTTGGCCTGCTTCTACCTACTGCCCCTTCACCCGGCTCAGATCACTTAGTTTGCATTTTAGTGTAAATGCCTCACAGCACCAAGGTGTATGTTTTATCTTAGCTTGGGTGCTGGCACCTTGGTAGGAAAAACTGCTTGTGCAAAGGATTGTTAAACTGCTAGTCGAGAGACTCCATTTAGAACCATGTGTATGATAGTATGTTAGACATGGTCTCCAATTCACACTTTGTTGTTGCATTTTATATTTTTTTTCTTTAAGATTATTTTATTGAAAGGCAAATTTATAGAGAATAGAGACAGATTTTCCATCTGCTGGTTCATTTTCCAAATAGCTGCAACATCCAGGTCTGGGCCAAGCTGAAGCCAGGGAACTGACTTCGTCTGGGTCTCCCACATTGAGGTCAGGGACCCCCATGTTTCAGACACACACTGCTGCCTTCCTAGGTGCATCAGCAGGGAGCTGGATAGGAAGAGGAGCAGCTGGGAGAAGATCTCCTTGAGCCCAGCCAGGCTCATGTGGGTTGTAGCACTGCAGGCAAAGCTAAACTCGGGCCACAAAGCTGGCCCCTTCACATTCTTCCTGAGGTTTACTATGCTTGCCCACACATAAATGTTTACCATCTATTAAGTTGAAGAGAAAGCCTACCTATTCTGCTCAGCCCTTCCTGACCCTCCTATGAGCTCCCACAGTCCTGCATCCTGGTGCTCCCCTCAGAGCATTCGGTCTCTACAGCTACTTCAGAGGCCAGGAGGGAATATTTCCTGTTTCTCGTGGTCTCCCCCAAGCCAGGCCCACAATGAATGCAAAGCGAATGAAAACTTATTATGTTAGGGAATGAGTAACTAACACTGCCACTCTGCCTAGACCCTTTGTTTTGTTTTACTCCGCTCTTGAGCCTACATGCTAATCAGATATCCTGCAGGGACAGTGTGACTACTTGCAGCTTCATCTGTAAGCCACGGACTGGACTGCCACTGATACAGGTGGGCTTAGGAGGCTGACCATTCATCTATTTCCACCCTGAATGGAAACCTCTTTGTTCCATCACAATGCTGCTGGATGGCTCCAGTGCAAGAAGACATTTAGAGACCTTTCATATTCCTTAGCAAGTACTCCCTGCCGCACCTCATTCCTCCTCAACCCCAGGCATCCCTTCATTTATTGTATTGACTTAATAGATTTCTCTATGCTAGGCATTTCATATGGTCTTTTGCAGCTGGCTTCTTTTCCTTGACACAGTGTCTTCAAGGTTGATCTGTTCATTGCCTACAGATACTGCCTTGCTATCACTTGTAGGCTATTAGGAATGACCTGCTGCCAACATTGTGTAGCAGTTTTTCTGGGCTTATGTTTCTGTTTCCCTTGTGTACACACCTAAGATTAGAACACTGTTTTTAGTCCTGGGAGAAACTGCCATATTGTTTCTCTTGCCTCATTTTACATTCCAATTTGTCTGCTCCCTGGCCAAAAGTTGTTATGGAGTGTGGTTTTGATTGTAGCTATCCTAGTGGGAGTATTTGGTATTACATTATTTTGATTTGCTTCATAAGAGTTCTGATTCAAGTCTTATTTCAGTTTTTTGAAATTTATTTATTTTTATTGCAAAATCAGATGTACAGAGAGGAGGAGAGAGACAGAGAGGAAGATCTTCCGTCTGATGATTGACTCCTCAAGTAACCGCAATAGTCGGTGTTGCGCCAATCCAAAGCCAGGATCCAGGTCTCCCACATGGGTGCAGGAACCCAAGGCTTTGGGCTGTCCTCAACTGCTTTCCCAGGCCACAAGCAGGGAGCTGGATGGGAAGTGGAGCTGCTGGGATTAGAACTGGCACCCATATGGGATCCCTGCATGTTCAAGGCTAGGACTTTAGCCACTAGGCTACTGCGCCGGGCCTTATTTTGGTTTTTAGTTTGGCTTATGTTTATCTGTCCTATTGTTTGTGCTTAAAAAAAAAAAAGTTAAGCTTCTCCTAACCTAGGTATCATGAAGATTTAATTATACCTGTATTTTTCAGTTTTTATATATAATGTGAGGTTAAGCTTAGTAGCAAAAGACAAACACTTTATATGTCAATCTTCAAAGCAGTTTTCAGAAAATTTGTGATGCTTGCAGTAGCTGCTTTTTGCTAAACAGAATTAATGCTTACAACATTTATCGTCCTTTACAGCAGTAGTACTAGTGTGTCCATTTGGATTGGAGGAAATAGGAGGTTTGCAGTAGTTTGTTCAGGGTGGTATGCCTGCTTCAGAGCCTAGGTCTGTTGATTCCATCACGGGGAGGGGGGTACAGGGGACTCGGACAATGCTGATTCAAGTTTTGTTTTGTTTGTTCATTTTAATATGGAGTATTAAACAGCTGATCTTCGTATGTTGAGCCACATTTTCATTTCTGGGATAAACTCCATTTAGTCATGGTGTACGATTTTTTAAAGATTTATTTATTTTTACTGGAGGGGCAGATTTACAGAGAGAAGGAAAAATAGAAAAATCTTCCATCTGTTGGTTCACTCCCCAGTTAGCTGCAGTGGCCAGAGCTGAACCAATCTGAAGCCAGGAGCTTCTTCCAGGTCTGCCACATAGGTGCAGGGTCCGAAGGCTTTGGGCCGTCCTCAACTGCTTTCCCAGGCCACAAGCAGGGAGCTGGATGGGAAGTGGGGCTGCCAGGATTAGAACCAGTGCCCATATGGGATCCCAGGTGCATGCAAGCCAAGAATTTAGCCATTTGGCTACCCTGCCAAGTCTGATATAAAATCTTTTTTATGTACTCTTTGTTTGTTTGTTGTTGTTTTAGTAAGGATATTTTGTGCTTATATTCATAAGGAACATTGATCTGTAGTTTCTTTATGATGTCTTTGTCTGAATTTGGTATTAGATACTATTGGTCTCATAGAGTGAATTAGGAGGTAGAGTGGGGGTGGTGTTTTGGTTGTTGTGTTTTGTTTTTGTTTTTGTTTTTAATTTTGTGAAGTGCTAGCTCCTGAAGTATTTTTCTAGATATTTATTTATGTTGAACAGGGGGAAACAGAGATCTTCCATTCACTGTTTGACTTACCAGGGAGCTGTAAGGGCCAGTCCTAGACCAGGCCAGGTCTCTGATGTGATGGCAAGGGCCCATCCTCACCTCTTCCCAGGCCATTAGCAAGTACCCAGATCGAAAGTGGAGCAGCTAGGACGCAGGTGTCCACCTGGTATGCTCATTGAGTTGACCTGCTGCACCACTGTGGTGCCAGCCCCCTGAAATACTTTACATGGAAGAAATATAGAGTCTGCCTATTTCTGGTACCCACAGGATCACTAAACCCCCCACTTGGCCTTCAGTGGGTACTGACTGAATGCTAGTGATACCAAAGTGTTCTTGCCAACCTATCACATTGAGGCTGAAGAGTTACCAAGATCCTTTCAGAACTTCTGATGCCTGGAGTTTCCAGTGTAATCCCATGCCATGTTATGAGCTTTTTGCTGGTAGTTGTTTCATAGCTGCTTTGGGGCCAGTGGAAAAACTCAAACATCTATAGTTATTTTAGGAACTTTAATTTTATGTCTGTTGGACATCAAAATAAGTACAACCTCTTTACTACCTTAAAACTTTTCCTCAAGTTTATACTCATTATATAAGATTTATTCATTTTGGACCTAGCACAGTGACCTTGTGGCTAAGTCCTTGCCTTGCATGCACTGGGATTCCATATTGATGCCAGTTCATGTCCTGGCTGCTCCACTTCCCATCCAGTTCCCTGCTTATAGCCTGAAAAAAAACAGTAGAGGATGGCCCAAAGCCTTGGGATCCTGTACCCATGTGGGAGACCTGGTAGAAGCTCCTGGCTTCTGGCTTCAGATAACCTCAGCTCCAACCATGTGGCTACTTGGCAAGTGAACCAGTGGACAGCAGATATTCGTCTCTATCTTCTCTGTATAAATCTGCCTTTCCAATAAAAATAAATCTTTTAAAAAATTTGTGTACCATGACTAAGTGGAGTTTATCCCAGAAATGCAATTTATTTATTTTTACGGGAAAGGCAGATTTACAGAGAAAAGGAAAAAGATCTTTGATCCATTGGTTTGCTCCTTGAATGGCCACAATGGCTGGAGCTGAATTGATCTGAACCCAAGAACTGCTTCTAGGTCTCCCACTTGGGCCACCTTCCATTGCTTTACCTAGGCCATAAGCAGGGACCTGGAGGGAAATCGTGGCAACCCAGGAACATAAACCAGCACCCACATGGGATCCTGGTGCCTGCAAGAGGAGGATTAGCCAATTGAGCCATCATGACAAGCCTACTCATTATACTTTTAAAGTAAATATCTAAACTATTTCACATTATTGAGGTTGTTGTGAAGATTATAATTAAAAATCTCTTTGATTTTTTTTCTTGCATCTTTACATCATAAATAGCTATTTTCAGATTGTATTTGCTGGAATCATCCTGTGGCAGTATCTCACTGATACTTAGTCATTGGGGTCTGTTCTTCCGAGCTGTACAAGTGTGTCAGGGCCACAGTGAAGCTATGTGACATAGCCCTAGGCCATCACTGGGCACTTTTGTGAACTTCTTGTGACCCACTGCACTTGTTGCCTGCAGGTACCACGCACACAGACCTCTCGGCCGGAATCTCCAGGGATGACCAGCCCCTCCCCGCGCATCCAGATCATCTCCACAGACTCCACAGTAGCCTCTCCTCAGCGCATTCAGGTACTTGCACCGTCCCCTGCTCACAGCCAACCACCAGCAGCAGTACTGCCTGGAGTTGCCTTCCAGAGCCTCATGGGTGTCACATACAGCACACCACTTTACAAAATTGAAGTTTACGTTCATTTAATTTTTAGAGCAAACTTCTAAACTATTGTTTCAGACTATCAAAATGAAGTGCTGTCTTACTACTTACTTGTTTCCAGTTTGCAAGACATGCAAGACATTATAGCCTAGTAATTGAAAGCAAGAGCTCTGGAAGTCAGACTCAGTGCTCCACTGAATTGCTTTTAGACCCTTGGCTAAACTTTCTTCATTTGGAAGAGTGTATATAACATATCACTTACCTCATCATGGGTTTTCTGAGCAGCCAGAGGATATGGCTTATAAAAGACTCAGCAATACTCCTTGGCACATAATGCAACATGTGCTTGGTGCTTCAGAAAGGTTGGGGAGAGGCAGGCTTTGTCCTAGTGGTCAAGACTCCAATTAGGATGACTGTGTCCATGAAAGCATTTTGGGCTCAGCCTCCAGTCCCAGCTGCTGACTCCAGCTTCCTGTTAATGCAAGCTCCAGGACACAGCAGTGATGGCTCACGTGACTGGGTGCCTGCCAGCACATGGGAGGCTTGGTTTGAGTTCCTGGCTTCAGTAGGGAGCTCTCACTCCCCGTTTGTCACTAGTTTTTTTCTACTTATTTAGTTGAAAGACTCAGAGACAGAGATAGATATTCCTTGAGTTAATAATAGACCTGGGAAGAGAGTCAAGTTCTCTGATGTTTTAATGCACAACAGTGCTTACACCCCAAGTAGTGGCCTCTCTGATAAAGTTGAAAGGGAAAGATTATGGGAAAGAATGACAGGCTGGGCAACATTGAGGAACATTGGTTCTAAATGGAGCAGACCCAGGATCGTATCTCATCTCCACTCAGCCATGTGACCAGGGAATTTCCTTCCTAACTTCTATAGCTATGATTTGGTGATGAGAACAGTAAACTGTTTTGTAAAGTTACAAAAAAATGACCTTAGGTAATACCTATAAGCGTATAGGAAGCAAGCACCAATAGATGTTAGCAGCTGTGTTAATAGTGTCTTAATATTTTCTTTTTATATAATTTCAGATTTACAGAAAATATTACATGGAAGTCCTTTGTAGCCCTGTGCAGCAGTAGTTGCTCGCTGCCACATATTGAATGCATGTATGTCATTTTTTCGGAATGATTTGAGAGCTTATTGGAGCTATCACTCTTCTATACTGGTCATGCATGTATTTCCCGAGCACAGGAGCATTCTCTTATATAGTTATAACAGTTATCAAAACCAAGAGGTTTCATATGGACCATACCATTATCTAATCTATAGTCTGTGTTCTAAAATTTCTTTTTTCTTTTCTAAGGATTATTTTATTTTTATTAGAAATACAGATTTACACAGAGAAGGAGAGAAACAGATCAGCCAGAGCTGAACCAATCTGAAGCCAGGCACTTCCAGGTCTCCCACATGGGTGTAGGGTCCCAAGAACTTGGGCCATACTCCACTGCTTTCCTGGGCCATATGCAGGGAGTGTGGTGGGAAGTGGAGCAGCCAGGAACACTAGCTAGTGCCTAATAGGATCCCAGTGCTTGGGAGAGAGGATTAACCAAGTGAGCCATTGCATTGGCCCTATATTCTAAAATGTCGTCAGTTGTATTAGTCATGTCCTTTCTTTACAATGCTGTTTTCCATCCCAGATGGTTGGTACTGTTTGTAATCACAGTAGTGATCAATCGAGTGCCAGTAAACACAAGACCGAAACCCAGGGCTTGCAGGCATTCGGGGTGGTTCCAACAAGCAGGACAGGTACTGGAGGAAATGAAGGAGTCAAAAAACACTAGTTTAAAGCATCTTGGTTTTTAGTCCAGCTTTAAGAGCCTCTTATTTGGTGACTTTCACGTGTTAGTTTACCAGTGTGCTCCGAGACTGCTGTGTTTGCTCTATTTGGGATAGCCCTGGAAAGAGGTTCTTTTGCCATCTTTGTATTTTGAGGCTTTTCTGAGATTTTTTCCCCCATACTCTTTCCCACTTCAGTAGAGCATCATTATATTCATAATTTTGCTTTATGTTAAATAAATGTTTAAAGTTTATAAAACATAAACAGATTTATGTACTATAAAATTTTTATATTTTGATATTTCACATTAAAATCTGGCTAGAAAGGACTTTTGTAGTTTACATAGCTATTAGAAGTTTGAAATCTTCATTACAATCCTCAGAAAGGCCACTTAGACTCTTCCGTCTTCCTTCCTCTTCTCCTGGCTGCTACTTGTCTGATGCCCTTCACACCCATTGGTGTTTCCATTCTCACTGTAATGTTCACCCCTCATTCCTCTCCCCCATCCTGCACTCACAGGAGTTGCTTGTTTGTGTGTATAGGGTAGGTGATGCGTGTTTGCCATAACACAGCAGACAAGGTGCAGACTAAGAACAAGTCTCCTGCTGCTTCCCATAGGCGCTACTGTCTCTCCCAAGAGGTGGTCAGAGTTGCCATGTTATGTACAGTGTAAACACTTGCATCCTATTTCTACACAAGTGTAGGCATTCTGTGCCTGTTGTTCTTCCCCTTGCTCCTTTTTGGGAGATGATGGCACATAATACAATCTAGAACCTCCTCTCTGTTGTGAGGGACTGTTTGATAAGCTGTTCTGCCACAATGCTGTTCAAAGGTTGTAGAAATTTATGCTCATTGACGCAGTGTGGGCTAGTCCCCATCCACATACTCAAGTGTGTATTATGCTATTCGTGTGAGTCTTTTGTCATTTTTGCAAATGAAATGGTACATTGCTGCAAAAAGCACTCCTCCCTACCTTCGCTGCATCCCTACCTCATTTAATTTTCAATTAAGAGACTTCAAAACTTGTGTCTAGTTAAATTCTTATATTTAAATATACTATTTGACCCAAGGGATAAATATTAGGTCTTTTCAGAACCACTGCATTGAAATGTTCCAAGTCAGTCAGCTGGCTGTGCATCTGTTTTATGGAAGACCTGCCAGGTCAATATTAAACTTGAGGGGTCAACACTATAGCAGAGTGGGTAAAGCCTGCAGCAGCAACATCCATATGGGCAACAGTTTATTGATTCCTGGCTACTCCACTTTCAAACCAGCTCCTGCTAATGAGCTCTGGAATGCAGCAGAGGATGGCTCCTAGTTCTTGGACCCCTGTACTTGCATGGGAGACCTGGATGGAATCCCAGGCCCCTGGCTTCAGATCACCTCCACTCTAGCCATTGCATCCATTTAGGGAGTGAACCAGCAGAAGGAAGATATGTCTGTCTGTCTGACTGTCTGTCTCTCTGACTGCCTTTCAAATAAATAAATCTTGTTCTTTCTTTTAGTTTTTTTTAAAAATTGAATTTACAGACTACCTATAAAATAGGAAATAATTACAGGCTTACCTGGATGGGGATCACTGTAGTCCTTCTGATCCCCTTGAAGGGCTGGGTTTCTCAGGGTCTATCCACTAAGCCTGGGCTTTCAGTGTCTTTATATGACCCCCCGCCAAGCAGATCTCTGGGGCGTAGACTTCAGTTTGGAATGTTTTTAAAAATTAAGACATTTCAATTGAACCATGTTTTGTTGTAAATATATTGTTTAATTTACAGATACTGGTATTTTCTAGCTATCTCTACTAAGCTTTTGCTGAATTCCTCTTTAATTCCATCAAGGTCTAAAAATATGCTTTGTATTCCTGAGTTCTTTGTAGCACTGGTTGAAATCAGTTTTATGACCCAGAATTGCTGTGTTTTAGTGACTGTTCCATGCAGGCCTCAGAAAAAATGTATTCTGCAGGTGTTAGACAGATTGCTTCGTAAATGACAGTTAGATTGAGTTGGTTGATTTTGGTGTTCAGGTCAACTCTGTCCTTACTGATTGTTCTTGCTTACTGCATCAGTTGTCAGCAGAGAGATGCCGACCCCTCAGCTGAAATTGCGGATTTCTCTTTCTAGTTAAGTTATGGGTTTTGCCTCCTTATCTGATACCTTGTTCTTAGCGGCATACATTTTTAGGTTTGGTTTATTACTGTTGAGAACTGACTCTTCTCATATACCCCTCTGCACATCTAATATTGTCCTTATTCTGATGTTTACTTAATATGAAATGAATGTAGTTATTTTAATTTTGTTTGATGAATGTTAGCACGGCCTTTATGCATTTTCATCTTTGTCTTTGAAATGTAAAATGAATTTCGCATAGGCAGTATAAAATTAGGGCTTCAGTTTGTTTACCCAGCTGACAACCTCTGTCCTCCCCTTACTGTGCATAAAACATTGACATTTAAAGTATATCCTCATTACAGGAAGGAAAAAAGAGAATATGGAGACAATGGTCTTAACCACTTTGCTATAGCCCTTGACCCTTTGAGCCCTAATCAACTATATAGAGATCATCAAAAAAATTTTTTTTAAGTTTATAAAAAATAATACTAAAGTACATCATCATTAACATATTTGGGTTAATATTGTCCATCTGTATAACTGGATCCTGTGGGAAGCTCCCTTTTTCCCCTCCTAGCTATGATTCCTATGTCTCTCATCTTGGTGTGTCACATGTATCCTAAACTCCTATGTTGTAATTTTTTTTAAGATTTATTTATTTTGGGCCCGGCGCGGTGGCGCAAGTGGTTAAAGGTCCTCGCCTAGCACCCCGGGATCCCATATGGGCGCCGGTTCTAATCCCGGCAGCCCCGCTTCCCTTCCAGCTCCCTGCCTGTGGCCTGGGAAAGCAGTCGAGGACGGCCCAAAGCTTTGGGACCCTGCACCCGCGTGGGAGACCCAGAAGAGGCTCCTGGCTTCAGATTGGCATAGCATCGGCCCGTTGCGCTCACTTGGGGAGTGAATCATCGGACGGAAGCTCTTCCTCTCTGTCTCTCCTCTCTGTATATCCGCCTTTCCAATGAAAAAATAATAAAAATAAATCTTTAAAAAAAAAAAAAAGATTTATTTATTTTTATTGGAAAGGCAGATATACACGAGGAGTAGCAGAGAGGAAGATCTTCCGTCTGATGATTCACTCCCCAGGTGGCCGCAACGGCCAGAGCTGAGCCAGTCCAAACCCGGAGCCCAGAGTCTCTTCCTGGTCTCCCAAGCAGGTGCAGGGTCCCAAGGCTTTGTGCCGTCCTCGACTGCTTTCCCAGGCCACAGTCAGGGAGCTGGATGGGAAGTGGCAGACCTGGGAACACAAACTGGCACCCATATGGGATCCTGGCAGATGCAAGGTGAGGACTTTACCTGCTAGGCCACCACGCCAGCCCTCCTGTGCTGTATCTTATGTTATCAGTTGTGCGGTCACCAGAGTAGTCTCCCCAGCCTTGTGACATGGCTGCCATTCCTTTCACTGGTGCACATGCTGTAATCACCCAACACATTGTTACTCTTATTCATTTGAACAGCTACGTTTTAAATCTGAACATTTCCAAAGCAAGATTTCTTTGTCCTTTGTTTATTCTTTCTGTGACATTCCCATTCTTCAGGCAGATCCAAGGCCAGCATGTTTTTCCTTCTGCCCAAAAACTTGTCTCACAGGGTAGCTGTGCTGGTGATGAATTCCTTTCTCCCTAACCTCCTCCCCCCCTTTAATTGGGGTTTTAGTGTTATTATTTAAATGTATCATAGAGTAACAGATGGATCATCCTCAGGTAGCACATCGGCTGAATCCAGCGTTAGAAAACTGGTGTCACAAGCAGGAGCTTAACCTGTTGTACCATACTCTTGTATCCCTCCCCCATTGAAATTCATGTACCATGAAGTCACCTACCTCTTGCTGTTTGTTCTAACTTGCTACTAACACACCCATGGCCACATGGGACAGCTATACGAAATGCTGGGCTCCTGGTTCCTGGCTTCTGGCTCCTGGCTCTGGCCTGGCCCAGCTCTTTCTGTTATGAGTGTTTGAGGAATGAACCAGCAGAAGGAAGATCCCTCTCTACCTTTAATAGAAAACTAAAAATAATTTAAAATGTTTTAATGGGTTCTTTTTTATTTTTTAAGATTTATTTATTGAAAAGACAAATTGACAAGGAAAGTTACCAAGTTTTTGATGCACTGGTTCATTTCCTAAATGTTCTCATTAACTGTGGCTGAGCCTGGCAGTCAGTCCATTTCTCTTACGTGGGTTGACAGGGCTCAGGTGAGCTGCAGCATACTAAGTAAGCACATTAGCATGAAGCTGGAAATACAAGTGGAGCCAGGACTCCATCTGGGATGCAGATATTCCAAGTGACGTTTTGTCTGTTGCACAAAACACGCCGCCAATTTATTTGAATCAACCAACATTATCTGATTTTTTTTTTTTGAAGATTTATTTTTATTGGAAACTCAGATATACAGAGAGGAAGAGCTGGATGGGAAGCGGAGCTGCCGGGATTAGAACCAGTGCCCATATGGCATCCTGGCGCATGCAAGGCGAGGACTTTAGCCACTAGGCTACTGCACCTGACCCTATTGATCTTTTATATTAGACAGCAGTAAGCTATTGTGTTGAAGAGTTTGTTGTTTGAACCTTGGAGTTTGTTTTCACAAAGTCTATGAAAAGGTAATACTGTGCCTGCCTATACACATATTGTGGAACCTAGTTCAGCCCATGGTTTGGCCCCTTTCCCCTCACTGATGTTTTTTGTTTGGTTGGTTTGGTTAAAATTTTCAGTTCTTTTGACTCTCCTGGTCTGCTCATGGGAGTAGGAGGGACAGTTCCGTGCTGTCAAGCTACCATCACCCAAGAACAGGGGACAGCTGTTTGATTTCTCCTTAGAGACCCCAGTGTGGGGAGGAGTAGTCCAAGGGTATTACTTGAGTGGTTTTGATAGTTGTGAGACTAGTTGGCTTGGTTTCACTAGAGTTGAGAAAATCTTTCCAAGATATGTTGGCTGACCAAGGCCACCTTAGTACATCTATAGGCCCAGGAACAGGTTGCAAAGCTTTGCCAGGAAAGTGGTCCATCCTGTTCTTCTTCCCATCCTCTGACAGAGCACTCAGTGTTTTCTACTAACCTAGATAAACTGGCTATCATGTCCCCTGTGTGCATCTGGGCATGCTGTGCACTGCACAGACATCAGCAACTTAGGAGGCTCAGATTCAATGCATGACAATATATACTATGATTTTCCCTGCAGCCGGTGATTGAGTCCAATAGTCCCACTGGGGAATACCCCAAGAAATCGTGCCTCATATTTTACTCTGTTGTGCGCTAGCTGGTGCAGGGTCAAGTTCGGTCCATCACCTATATCAGCCAATACACATACCAGTAGATATGCCAGTTGCCTCGTCAGTCCTGCCCCCAGTCCAATCTCATGCAAACTGATGGGTGCTGTGTCCTAGCCCAGACACCAGCAGGTGCTGCACCCCAGTCAGAGTGACCCCAGTAAATCTCCACCAGACCCTCACCCAACCTCAGCTTTGGCGTGGGCCACATGTGCTGAGGCCTAGCCTGGTCTGTCCTTTATCCATCTGGCTCTTGTACACTCCTGTTGGTGCTGCAGCTTAGCTAAGCCCAACCTACCCCCAGACCCAGCCTGCACATCCTGACAGGTGCTGCTACCTTGACTAGCCTGACATGGCCAACCCCTAGTCCTGGCACTCACCGCGGCTGACAGGTTCTCTCTCAGTCCTGGCCTTTGCATGTGCCAGCAGGTGCTGCCACCTGGCCCAGCCTGTCCTCCCAGCCTCAGTTCCCATGAGTGTCATGTGAGTCCACTATCCAGCGGGACTCAGCCATCACCACCCCTAGCTCTCCGTGCAAACTGCTGGGTGCTGTGGTTCCACAGAGGTGAGCCCACCACTTCTTCTGCCAGGATAAGTATTATTTGAAAATGACACACTTGTCAGGTGTATTATTTATTATCAACTTCATTTCCTATCAGAAAGGATACTTTTGTTAATATTTAATTATTTTTAAAACTATTTAATTATTTACTTGGAAGGCAGAGTTACAAAAAGAAAGTAAAACATCTTTTCTGGTTAGCTGCTCAAATGGCTGTTATAGTATTATAATACTTGGGCCATCTTCCACTATGTTTTTAGACACATTAGCAGGGAACTGTTGGAGCAGGTGGAAGTAGAGCAACTGGCCATTACTTGGAATCTGCATTCATGGGATGCCAGTGTCACAGACGGCACCACAGTGCCATCCTCAGGATATTTAAATCCTAAAAGTGTAGGAAATATACAATCAAAATCAAAATAGCTGTGTGGAAATTTATTTCTGCAAAGCTCATTCTTATTTTTTTCTCACGTCACCATGAACTGATGAAATTGCATCTTAGACTGGTGTTAACTCAGGCACCAACATCTGTTATTGGTTACTTTGGGGTACCACCTCCAATTACCCTATGACAGCAGCCTCCATGTTGTGTCTTGTAGATTGTGACTGACCAGCAGACAGGACAGAAGATCCAGATAGTCACAGCAGTGGATGCCTCTGGATCCCCCAAACAGCAGTTCATTTTGACCAGTCCAGATGGAGCTGGAACCGGGAAGGTGATTCTGGCTTCCCCAGAAACATCCAGTGCCAAGCAGCTCATATTCACCACTTCTGACAACCTTGTGCCCGGCAGGATCCAGGTAACACCTGTGGGCAGCTGTTTGAGCTTTTCTGCTACAAGTATTGTTCCTGACCTGATCTGTTATTTGATTGAAAGGGCCAGTTCCAACTCTAGGTGGTCTTTGGGGGGACCTACAAGTGTGGCATGATGATTCTTGCCCAAGATTTAGAAACAATATCAGAAGCCAGCGGGCGGTAAGTACCAAGGCCCAGAAGGCAGCCAACTTCAAATACTTTGGTGGTCAGGGATGTGGAGGCTGAGCCAGAAAAGTTGGTGGCCTACTGGGGAATAGTGTGAGCAAGCTGGTGCTGAAGCACCTGGAGAACTGAATCGAACTAAGGCTGTGCAGCAGCAGCCCTTGGCCCAGGGCATCCAGAAGGCTTCACCCAGGGCTGCCCACAGCTGCTGAGAATCAGCTTGTTCTTGACCGGCTGATCTTGTTCAAATTGTCAGATTCTTCATTCATTGTGAGCTGCCAGCTCTGAACCCTGTCTGTACCCTACTTTTCCTGTACTCTAACAAGGGAGGGCAGGGAGCAGCCTGGTGAACAGGTGCCGAATGATGATCTGGGATATGGGAGCACTGACTTTCCAAAACCAGAGATTTGGGTCCTTGTCCCATAATGGCCAAGCATATTTAGGCTCAAAGCGACATCCTTATGTACGTGTTTCTAATGTTTTGTAATTTACAATTTGTGGTAAGACACACCTATTTCCATCTAAACGCTAGGTATACAGTTAAGTAGCATTAAGAGCATTTGTTTGGTGCATCCATGACTATGACTTTGTCCTCAAGCTGAAACTGTCTTCCCCAGTGGTTCTCTTCACTCCTCATCTGTCTCTATGAATTTGACTATTCTAAGTACATCATAAATGAAATCATGCAGTATTTGTTGTTTTGTGACTATTTTACTTAATGTCTTCAAAATTCACCCATTTTTAGTACGTGTTATAGTTGATTTTTAAGAATTCTGTTTAATGTATGCACAATGTTTACTTCCACCTTCTGGTTGTTGTAAATAATGTTGCTAGAAATTCATGTATTTTGGGAAGGACCATATATATACACTGAGAAAAATACTTAAGGAAGGAAAAAAAAATGTTTCCTGGGGTAAGTGGAGAACACCACCATTTAGCTAGTAAAACTGGACATTGGAGGAGTAGGTCTTTGCAGTGCAGTGACGTAAGCCACTGCTGTGACACATCTCATGTGGGAGTGCAGATTGGAATCCCTGCTGCTCCACTTCTGATCCAGCTTCATGCTAGTGTGTCAGGAAGGCAGTAGCAACATGGGAGACCCAGATGCAGTTCTTGGCTCCTGGCTTTTGCATATTGCAGATCTGTGCGTTTGTGTGTGTGTCTTTGTGTCTCACATGTGCACACATAAAGAATTGTACTTTGTTCTTTTTTTTTTCCCCCTAAGGTTTATTTACATGAAAGAGTAACAGAGACAAAGGGATCTTCTGCCTGTTCGTCACTCCACAAATGGAGGTAATGGCCAGGGCTGGGCCAAGCAGAAGCCAGAAGTCCAGATTTTCAGCCAGGTCTTCAACATGGGCCGTAGAGGCCCAGTTAATTGGGCCATCTTCCACTGCCTCCCAGGCACGTTAGTGGGGAGCTGAATCAAAGTGGAACAGCCAGGGCTCAAAATGTGCTCCGATGCCAGCATCATAAGCAATAGCTTGAACAGTGCAGCTTAACCCTCCATGCTACAAAAGCAGCCCCTGAAGAACTATACTTCTTAAGCACCTTATACTGGAATTTGTAAATACTATCCCATCCTTCCCCACCACAGTGCATTCCTGATCATCTGAAATCTTCGGTTTCACAGCAGGTGATTCTGTATAATTTCTCTGTGTGTTCACACTATGCATAAGTCATTTAATAGCTTATTCTTGGCTCAAATTTAAGTTCATTTTTGCAGTAACAATTGCTTTCTCCTTTCTCATATTGATGTTACAAGTGTGTCCTATGTTAGGCCAGGTGTAACTTAAATTGGCTAATCCTCCCTTTACAAATGCCAGTATCCCCATATGGGTGCTGGTTAGTGTCCTGGATACTCCACCTCCCATCCAGCTCCCTGCTTGTAGCCTGGGAAAGCAGTCAAGGATGGCCCAAAGCCTTGGGACCCTGCACCCATGTGGGAGACCTGGAAGAAGCTCCTGGCTCCTGGCTTCAGGCTTCAGATCGGCTCAGCTCCAGCCATTGTGGCCGTTTAGGAGTGAACCATCTATCAGATGGAGGATCTTTGTATATCTCCTTCTCTGTAAATTTGTCTTTCCAATAAAAATAAATAAATCTTAAAAAAAAAAAAAAAAACAAAGATTTCCCCCAGGTCAGTAGTGCTGTTTCAGGGGAAAGAGCCATTTTCAGTCTTAAACCACCAGCTGTCTCAAGCAGAAGTCTAGTTATTTAATTGGCAAGCTGGGTTTATTTCTGACAGGTATGCCTTTTGGCAAACTTTCAGATTGCTGTGTGAAAGCAGTGAGGCAACCAGAAGAATCTTTTCAGGGGGAGTGGGAACGTCTGTGTGTGATTCCCCCTACAAGGTTCCCAGCCTTGGAGGAGGTGCCAGAGATGAGGGCAAACCTATGCTGAAGGGGGGTAGTCCAGGAGAGTTTCTTGGCAATACCCTGAGTTCTGCTTAGGAACTCAAGATTAGGGATTTATAGTTAAACATTACTTTGCTTCTTAATCTCTTAGATCGTCACGGATTCTGCCTCTGTGGAGCGGTTGCTGGGCAAGGCAGATGTGCAGCGGCCCCAGGTGGTGGAGTACTGCGTGGTCTGTGGCGACAAAGCCTCTGGTGTGTGAGCCACTCTGCTGGGGAAATGTTGTGGCCCAACAGCAAGAACCAGCTGTTGTGGGCGGAGCCAAGAGCAGGATCATCTGGGTACAGGTGGATGGAGCAGTCAGCCCTCCGCTGTGTGCTGAGGGTGCTGAGGTCAGGCCATTTACTGGCTCTTGAATAGCATCTGAGCATCCTGACTTCGATAAACTACCTTGAAGACTAGAGAGAGGGGCTGGCTCTGGGCACAGCAGGTTAAGCTACTATCTACAGTGCTTATGGACACTGGTTTGGGTACCACATGTTCCATTTCTGATCCAGCTCCCTGCTAATGTGCTTGGAAAGCAGCAGGAGATGGCCAGGAGGTTGGGCTGCATCCCCAAATTCCCCAATGAGACCTAGAGGAAGCTCCAGGCTCCTGGATTCATCCTACTCCAGCCCCAGCCGTTGTGTCACTTGGGAAGTAAACCAGTGAATGGAATATCAATAGCAAGATCTCTAACTGTTTCAAATTTAAAGAAGGATTAGCTGTAGAGAAAATATGTGGGAGGTCCATGTGGCCATAAGCTTGGAGCTGACATTACCCACATGGCCAGCAGCATCTGCCAGCATGCGCCCCAAGTTACTTGGATAGGCTCCTCTCCAAAGCAGGGCCTGTGGCAGGTCGCCTCATCTCTGAGCTAACTGCTGGTGCCTTTTCCTTTCAGGCCGTCACTATGGGGCTGTCAGTTGTGAAGGTTGCAAAGGTTTTTTCAAAAGGAGCGTGAGGAAAAATTTGACCTACAGCTGTCGGAGCAACCAAGACTGCATCATCAACAAGCATCATCGCAATCGCTGTCAGTTCTGCCGGCTAAAAAAATGCCTAGAGATGGGCATGAAGATGGAATGTGAGTAACAGAATTGAAGCGGCCTGCATCAACAGGGAAAGAGGGCATGGGATCTGTTCAGTAAGGTGTCTGTATGTGGCCTTTAAATGCTTCAGGGAAAATCTCACCCACTCAGTCTTCGTTTTGGTTTACATTTTGGGTCAGCTGGGTGATTGAGCCCCGACAGTCGGTTCCCATGGTGTTTGGAAAGTTGAGGCAGCAGAGCAGAGTGGGCTGCACACAGCTTGGGAATAAGCTAACATCAGCACACCCAGCTCTACCAATGGGGAGACAGGTAGCCTCTCGGCTGCAGGCTCTGAGAGTCAGAATCCTTGGCCTGCTGCTGCTGAGAACGAATGCCCTGCCTTCTGCCCACTGTGCTTTCCCTCACTCCAGCCTCTGCACGGCTGAGGTTGTGTAGTGAGGGCTGTTGCCACAGGGACAGTCAACACGTGGAAGTCTGCTCTCGCAAGTTGTGCCATCCTGAAAGCAGGAATCCAGGAGAGGCAGCAGAGGGAAATCCAAGGGGAGGGCAGTTGACTCTGGCTGCTGTGGGAGATTGGAGGATAGCAAAGGAGGACAGGCACTTGACTGGTGCCATGGATCCAGGAGAACGGGCTCTCTCGGAAGACCGAGAGGTCATGGTGATTGCAGTTCCAGAAGTGGGAACTGGGTGGGGGGGTTAGTAGAAATCTATTCTTTGAATAATTAGAAATAGCAACCCAACTTTTGCCAGCAACAACTACTGTTTCCCCAGAGTGAATCCAGACATCGCTGGTTTGGCGTTGGACTAACCAACATTGCCAAACTGACCTTGTTCTCAGTGAGCAGTAATTTTATTCATTGTGGTAGCTTAAATCTCTGTGAGACAGATCGTAGCTATACATAAAAACCTAGGACCTAAGTGGTGATTTCAGTTAGTACAGTGTCTTAATGCTAGTTACTAGGATCCACCACTTCTTTCTTTAAAACAGGTCTTACTTTTCCTGTTTCTTTGACATGTATCCCTGTTTCACACCAGGTTCCTAAAGGGAAAGATTGCTCGTGTGATATAATGGGCACTGAACAGGTCACAGAAGCTGGAAACTGACTTGGAGTTGCAGTGGTTCCTCTGTTATTTGTGGCTCAGGATAGTCTTTTCTTTCAACAGTCCACCAGAAAAGGAGTGTTTTCTTAGGCAAGAGTTCATTTGGTCACTGGTAGGAAGTATGTGCCCAAGGGTGTTTGATACAAAGGAAAGACACTATTTGTCATGCCCACGTCCCACTGGAGTGTTGAGTCAAGCCCCCATTCTGCTGCTTGTTCTAGCTTCCTGCTCATGCACCTCCTGACAACTCAGTAGTTGAGTCCTTGCTGCCACTCCTGTGGGAGACCCATAGCCTGGCCCAGCCTCAGCCGTGTCAGGGATGGAATGAGGCAGGTGAAGCTGTGTATGTCTCTCTCTTGCTGTGCCTCTAATACTTACAATGAATTGATGTTGTAAAGGGAAGTGAAGGCCCTGAGGGCTCAGTGTGGCCCCTAGAGACTACGCAGTGTGCTGCTCCAGCTTCTTGGCAGGCAGCAGCTGCTCCCTGGAGCTGTTTTTTGCTTTTAGGTTTCACGTGGCATTGGTGAACTATGAACCCTTCTCTTTGAAAAGCACCCTGTAGCAACTGAGCTGGAAGCATCTAGTACCATCACATACATCCCTGCAGTGACGGTCTGAGCAGGAAGTCCTCCTTCCTCGCAATGTTTGAAGGGATGTGGGTGTTCGTGAATTGGATCTGTGCTCTAAATGTGAACATTTATGTTATGATTTAAGCTGTGCAGAGTGAACGGAAGCCCTTTGATGTGCAACGGGAGAAACCAAGCAATTGTGCTGCTTCAACTGAGAAAATCTATATCCGGAAGGACCTGAGAAGTCCCCTGATAGCCACCCCAACATTTGTAGCAGACAAAGATGGAGCAAGGTCAGTTCCCGTTCTCACAAAGGGTGGCACTGCCTCAGCCCTTGGAACTGATGAGAGGCAGCATGGCCACTCCCTGGGCAGGGGTCATGTAGCTCCTGCCTGCCTGCTGAGTCGTACCTCCAGACAGGCCTGAGGATGCAGCCTTGGGATGGATCTGAAATTCTTCTGTTTTGGGCTCAGAGTTTGTCCTACAGTTTACACCATCAGGCCTGAGAGGAAAATGGTTGCTTGTAATTGAGTACTGTGGCTTTTTTTCAGTGCAGACAGGTCAGTCAGGCCCTAGAAACCACCACAAATATTTTTAATTTAATCCACTGAACTTACTTCGAAAGAAATAGGGCAAACAAGAAGTCTAAAATACTTCTTGAAACTGGCGTGAAGGATGCCTCGTGGTCCTCAGAAGAGCATGTTAACATTCTTTGGCAGGATGGCCACACTCTTCAGTCAGTGCGGAAAGCTCTGTGCCCATCAGAAAAGGGGCTCATTTAGTCTCTTGGTGGCTGAGCCTCGTTGGGGCTTTGCTGCTCTGCAGGTAGCTTTGCACGCGTTGAAGGGGCAGATGAATGTGGTATGATCATACTGTGTATAAAATGTTGGAAGCTACTCTGGGTTTCTTTATGTCTTAAATAGACAAACAGGTCTTCTTGATCCAGGGATGCTTGTGAATATCCAGCAGCCTTTGATACGTGAGGATGGCACGGTTGTCCTGGCCACAGACTCCAAGGTGACGTTTCTTCCCCTTGCTCCTCTGCTCCTCAGTGTTGCCACTGCAAGCTGGTTTCCCAAATGAGTGTCCTACCTTCTTGACCTTCAGAGAGCACAGCACAACTTGACCTTGGCATGTCACTTTACTTCTGGTTGTGATCAGGCATACTGGGATTTGTTTTGGGGTTGCCTTTTCAGAAACCTCAGTTGGAGCTGGCTAGTTACAGTCATCAAATCATGTCAGAGTCTAGACTTCAGCTTAGTGAATATTCTGTGGTTCTGGGCTCTGAGATTAGCATATTAGCAAGCTGTCTAGCTGTTTACTACTTATCCTGCAATAGCCTTTTCCAAAAACCCTCAGTCCTTTTTCCTCCCTTAAAAGATTAGTTTATTTATTTTGAATGTCAGAGTTATAGAGAGGAGAGATGGCAATCTTCCATTTGCTGGATCACTCCCCAGAATGCTGCAACAACCAGGACTGGAAAAGGCCAAAGCCAGGAGCGTCATCCTGGTCTCCCCTGAGGTGTCAGGGGCCAAGCACTGGGGCTGTCATCTGCTCATTTTCCTAGGCCATTAGCAGTGGTGGGAAGTGGAGCATCTAAAACTGAAACCAGTGCCCATATGGGATGCCAGCATCGCAAATTCTTTACCCCCTATCTTATAATCCATCCCCACCCCAGTCTGTTTTAGTTAGGTAGCCTTTAGGAGGAAGTTTACTCAGATGTGGTTAAGCTCTAGAGCTGTGCTACAGCAGATCACCACGGGAAGTCAACCTTACTGATGACAGTGCTTGCCTTCCCATGACAGTTTCTAGGAGGAAATCCAAGGAGGAATTTATGCAGCCCAGGAAACCCACTGCTTTTCTCATTTTGTTGTTCCTGATATAAACTTAGGAAGTGAAGAATTAGCAGCAAGCCGCAGCACTGCAGAGACATCTCAGTAGCCTAGAGCACTGGGTCGAACCAGGCCTGCAGGGTCCCTGTCTATTTACACCTGTCACGTTAGGGAATGAACAAAGCTGTGAGAACCCTTGGCTGGGCTGAGGAGCCACCCTGCCCCGTGGGGTCCTTGGGCTGGGCTCTGGGCTTTGCTCTGTGCAGCACATGAGCTGATGGAGCACACCTAGTTGATTATCACCAGAGGCAGTTCAGAGCCGTGGTTCTGACTGCAGGAAGATATAAGGGAAAGAAAAGTTCCAAAGTTGGGCCTGAATAACCTCAAGACTCCTGGTCACCTGAAACTTACACAGCCACTCTAGGCACCATCCATGCAGGAACTGGCTCAGAGTGCCAGCTTATCCTCACAGCAGTAAGTGCTGGCTGTTGGGAATTAGTGACTGCTCCTGGAAATGCAAAAGCCTTGTAGTCTGCAGTGAACACACTGCTATCCTCCTGCCCTCAAGGGGGAGCACTAAGACTCAGCTGAGAAGCACATTTGCATAATACAACACAGCACCTGGGATAACAGTTTGCAGAAGCTGTTTTTAAAATTTTTACTTTGAAATCATTATACGTTCAAAATAGTTCCATTTGAAAGAAGTGCAAAGCTGTAGAGTTCCTGCTTACCCACCATGCAGATGCTATGGGAGATGCCGTGGTCAGGATTTTTAAAGGTTGGTTGGTTGGTTTGTAAGGCAGAGTTAGAGCCCTTCCTTCCACAGATTCACTTAATTGCCAGAGGTGGGGCACGGTGAAGCCAGAATCTAGGTCTCCCATGTTGAGGACAGGGAGCCCAGTACTTGGGCCATCTTTGACTGCTTTCCCAGGGTGGACCAGAAGTGGAGCAGTAGGGACTCAATCCAGTGCCTGTATGGTATGCTGGCATCTCAAGCGTGTCTTAATTAACCCACCACCATGCCTGCCACTCTAACTCAGTGCTGCTCCTGACCACCTGACCATCAGATTGGGGCGTAGTGAATAGCATTGTGCTGATTTTTTTCCCCTCTTCTTTATTCCCCTTTATTATTCTTTGCTGCTGTGATGGCTTCCACCCCCCAGCAGCTGCACACAACCTCCTGTGACTGCGACTTACTGATCAGTTCTCTTTTGATTGTAGTTTGTGTATCTGTGTCTTGGTTTATGCAAGTCAATCTCTAGCTTTCTCTTTTTTTAAGAAATAGAAATATAAGTTGGATACCAGTTTATCCTTTGAGAGTATAATTTAGTGAGTTTTAGTATGATCAGGTTTGCAACCATTATCCCTATTTTCAGATTGTTTTTGTCTCCCCAGAAGAAGCCCTTAACCTCGCTAGGAAGTCACTCCCCTTCCCTCACTTCTAGAATCTGTCACCTCTGCCCTAGTTTCTAACTGCATGTTTATGTCTATTCTGCAGGTGTCCTCATGAAAACCATGTAATCTGTGATTCTTTGTGACTCAGGGTAAAGCAGGTTCCGCCCTGGTAGCATGTGTTACTAGGTCATGCCTTTCTGTTGCCAAATAATATGCCACTGTGTGGGTAAACCATAACATTTGTTTACCCACTTAACAGTTGATGGATGTTTGAGGTGTTTCTACTTTAGATCAGAATTGCTGGTCAGATGGTAACTCTTAGGGTTAGACCTTTAAGGAACAGCCAGATAGTTCTGCAAGATGACCACATTGCTTTACATCCCTACCAGCTTTGCACAAAGGCTGTGATTTCTCTACTTCCTCACAAATACTTGTCCATCCTAGTGTGTGTGAAATGATATCTGCTTGTTTTGATTTGCATCCCAGTAATTCTGAGCATCTTTTAATGTGCTTATTGGCCACTTTTGTTTCTACATTGGCAAAAATGTTGAAATCTCTTGTCCGTTTTTAGTGTTGTCTAGACTCTGACATGATTGGCATTTGTGAATTATGAAACTACAGCCACAACTGAGATACAGGAAACTAACCCATCTCCACAAACATTGCCTTCCCACTGCCTTGTGGTCACACCCCCCTAGCTAACTGTTCTAGAACCATCATTACACCTTTAGGGATAGAGCTGACTTGTGTGTGTTTGTATTTAATATGACTATTTTTTTTGTTGTTTAATAGGCAGAAACAAGCCAGGGGGCTCTGGGCACACTGGCAAATGTTGTGACCTCCCTTGCTAACCTAAGTGAATCCTTAAACAATGGTGACACTTCAGAAATCCAGCCAGAGGACCAGTCTGCAAGTGAGATTACACGGTAGGAGCCCAAGATGGGACACCTCCCCATACACACTCAGAGCTGTGGGCTGGGGTAGATTGTGACATCCTGGCATCTGTCCTGGGTTTGGTCAAGGGTTTTAACTGCCACAACGACCCTGCACGGAGTCCTCTTCCAAATTTTAGCTGTGGAAATATTGCCCACTTACATTACATGATATAAAATTCAAAACTGCTTTTCATTCCAAATAATGTAAAAGGAAAAGCAGGCAACTCCATATGAGAGGGGAGTCGGGGGAGGCTTTCAGTGGGCACATCTGTTCGTAGTGATCAGTGTTGAATGCCCAATGCATGGTAACAATGCATCCTATATCCTGCCTCCCATGTGGCCCATTTTTCTCATGTAAACTCTTCTAGGTAGTGAGTTACAAGGGTAGCTACATGTATGTTGGCTGACGGAGCACTGGCAGGTCCTGGATGCTATAGATCTTTCTCCTCTGCAGCTTGGTACTTGGTGTGGCTTCTTCCACTCTGGCCTGTCTTGCTCAGCTGGCCAGGTGCATGGCAGAGGAGAACACAGGGTCCCTGGTCCCCATGGTCATTTTCAGCCTGAGAAAGAAAGTAAGATCTAGATCCAGTGGAAAGAGGGTGGATTTGAATTAAGTAGAATTCTGGTTCTATCACTTAACATGAATGATCTTAGGAGAGTTGACACCTGTAGCCTCAGTGTTCTCATCTGTAAAACAGAATTTCTGCCTGTGGAAATACATTTCATTATTTCAACTAAAATGCTTGAGAGGAGCAGTTTAGAGAGCAATAAGCTTTATTTCAGTTTATAGCTCCAGAGGTTCACAGTTGAACATTGAGCAGACATGTTCACTCCATCTCCAGTGAAGCTGAATGACAGAGGGCCAGGAAGCACATGCTGCTTACATAATGATCCATCTCACAAGAACCACCTGCTGGGGGAGCCCCTGGCGCCCTGGAGACCTCCACCCAGGCCCACCTCCCAGTTCCCATAATTAGATCCAGTCTCTATCCTTCATCCATCCATTAACCACTAACATAGAGCTTTGAGGTGTAAACATCTGCATGAATTCATGAACATCTGTAAATCCTGTTTAAACCATAATAAAAAGCAAGTTATGAAGAAATTTTATGGGGAAATAAACATTAGGGAGCTCAGTCCTGCCCATGGACGATCCACAGATGCTCTGAGTGTTGGCCTTCCCTTGGTAGGCAGAATTTAATTACCTGTTCCTCAAAGCATTGCTTTTCTGAAGTACATCTCAGCTAGAGCTCTGTGCCTCCCAAGCTATAGATTCACAGCACTTGCTTGCTTCATTTTTGCTCACAGGGCATTTGATACCTTAGCTAAAGCACTTAATACCACAGACAGCTCCTCGCCTCCAAGCCTGGCCGATGGGGTAGACACCAGTGGCGGGGGGAGCATCCATGTCATCAGCAGAGACCAGTCAACACCCATCATTGAAGTGGAAGGCCCTCTCCTTTCAGACACACACGTCACATTTAAGGTGAGTGTGCCCACTGACCGCATGTCCAGCCTCTCAGCCTGTTGAGAGGCTCTCTGATAAAGCTGAGCTGCAACCCTTAGCATGAGCTCATTTTTTTTTAAAGATTAATTTATTTACTTGAAACTCAGAATTACAGAGACATGGAGACTGTGTGAGATCTTCTATCTGCCGTTCACTCCCTAAATAACTGCGTCAGCCAGGGCTGGACCATGCCAAAGCCAGGAGCTTTCCTCTGGGTGCTGGAAGTGGATGGCAGGTACCCAACTTTGGCCATCCTCCACTGCTTTCCGAGGCACATTAGCTGGAAGGTGGACTGAAATGGAGCAGCTGGGACTCAGACCAGTGCCGATGTGAATGCTGGCATCACAGGCAGTGGCTTATCCTTCTATGCTAAAATACTAGCTGCCGCATGAGCTCATTTTCATGTTATACAGCATGTGACATCAGGGCCTCAAGCAGGATCTTGTGTTCCAAAACAGCATTTTCGCTGTAAAACATTTCACATTCTTTTGCTCACCACAAATAGAATTCTGAAGGTAAACTTGATGAGGGTGTGGCAACATCATTGCCAAGACTGGCCAGTGTGGTCCCAAAAGATGAGGGCTAGCTGTGCCCCCACAGCTCTAGCAGAGGTCTTCTCTGTCCACTGTAAGCCTCCCTACCAAAATCTCACCAAGCAGCCAGCTCACCTTGGTTCTGAACCATAGAGCCTGACTACCTTGTCTCCCGCCCTCAGAAAGTATACCATAACCATCCTGGAAGGAACTGGTGGTCCACACAGGCTTTCCTGTGCACGCCTGGCCTCCTGGTACATGCCATTCCAAGGCGCTGAGGTCTTCTCTGTCCTTGGGTCTCCAGATTGACTATCCCTATTCCCAGTATGTTTGCTGGAAAGGTTTAACCACTCACTCAGTCACAAATGTGGAATCTCTGCCCCTAGTTGGCCAAGGCTGCCCAGAATCTAGGTCAATGGTGAAATTCCAGCTTCAGGGGCATTGAAGGCCCTTCTAGACAATGGAACGGCAGAGCCCTGGCCAACATTCAAGTGGAGGGAGTCTTCCTCTTACCATGTGGGTTTCTCCTCGACTCTCGCCTCTGTTTCCTGAAAGTGACCTTCCGTGCCTACCAGCCCATGAATGTGGCCCGCATGTTCCCATCTAAGCTGAAACACATTTTGAATAGGATATTTTGATATCCATAAGCTAGGAAGTCCCCTCAGGCCCATCAGCCACATCAAGGGCCATTAGATTGAGCATGAAGACACAGGGAAGCAGTACAGGACTCCTACCATGAAGTTGGCACCTCACTAAAGACAGGCCCCAAGCTGCTACTGTTGAAAGAGGTCAGAGGTGCATGTGGGCAGCTCAGCTGTCCTCAGACTCCTTCACCTCTGGCTCTGTGCCCCCTGTTTTCCAGCTAACAATGCCCAGCCCGATGCCAGAGTACCTCAACGTACACTACATCTGCGAGTCTGCGTCCCGCCTGCTCTTCCTCTCCATGCACTGGGCCAGGTCAATCCCAGCTTTTCAGGCACTTGGGTGAGTGTTTTCTTGGCATATGTCCTTATAAGGGGAGGAGCATGCCACACCTCTGCTAGAAATGGCCTGGAGAACTTATGAGAGCCGCCTCAGTTTGTTCTTAAGACTTTTTTCAAGATTTCCCCCTCCCCAAATTTCTTAATACAGCAAGTAGCCAGTAGCAAGGGACCCTGTCATCAGTGTGCAGAGTTCCTCAGACATTTATGGAACCTCCCACCTGTGCCACAGACTCAATGCTAGGAGCTGGAGCTGGGGAAGACCAGCAGGCAAGGGTGAGCCCCCAACCCTGTGCTGTTTACAGTGTGACCCACAGACAGAGCCACACCAGCAGCTGTGTCCAGGCCTTTGAGGAATGTGACTCTACTATGCACTCAAGAGTGCTGGGTTACCTTCTCACACACACACCTGACCGCACTGACCAGTCCCGTGAGTGGTACTGCACCTGGGGTCCTCTCTGCAGCTTGCTTGCTTATTCATGCATGTCTGAGTCATGTTGTCCACCTGAATGCCAGCGGCAGCGCTGCCCAAGTGCTAAGTGCTGTACAGCCTGTGTGTGCAGCAGTGTGCCCGGCAGCTGCCTCACAGCCAGCTGAAAGATAACCACTCATATAAACATAGGCATGCGGTGAGAGGTAATGCACATTGCAGAGAAATCTTTCTTCAGTAACACATAGAAAACTCCAGAATGGAAGGCCAGATTGTTCTGTGGTTTATAGCACTGACTTGCCAGCTGTGTTACCTTGTGCGAGTCATTTCCCCTCAGAGTCTTGTTTCCTTACAGTGGGACTTTCATACAGGCCTTAAGGTCCATGAGGTCTTACTGAGTGTGTGGCACTTAGGGCCTGGCCTCACCTACCTCAGTGGAAGGTGGTGGGGTGTTGTGGTTCACATCCTGAGCAGTAACTAGGAATGTCACAGTCTTCCTCCACTGAAGGAAAGAGACAGGATTGGCTCCTTGTGGAAAATTGGACAAGCAGGGCCCACTGAGCAAGCATTATAGGTTTATTATTCATGGCAAGCATGGTCTGCCGCTTGCTGGCATCTGGAATAGCTGGTGTGAATTCAGGCATCCCCATTGTTATTAGTACTATAGTGGATAACCAAGTTGATTTTTTTTTTTGTTTTGTTTTTAAGATATAGTTTATTTATTTGAAAGGCAGTGTTACATAGAGAAAAGGGAGACACAGAAAGAAACATCTTAAATCTACTGGTTCCTTCCCCAAATAGCCACAACAGCCAAAACTGGGAGAGCCCAAAGCCAGAAGCTTCCAGGTCTCCCCTGTGGGTGCAGGGGCCCAAGGACTTGGCCATCCTCCACTGCTTTCCCAATCATATCAGCAGGGAACTAGATAGGAACTGGAGCCACCAGACTCAAACAGTGCCCATATGGAGGATGTTGGCATCCCAGGCAGCAGTTAATCCACTATGCTACAGTGCTGGCCCCATAGCCAGGATTTTCTTTTTAAGTTTGAAGTTCAAAAGTGATGTGCTGGGGTAGCAACGCGGCATAGCAGGCTAATCCACATCCCATGTGAGTGACAGTTCATGTCCCAGCTGCTCCATTTCTAGTCCCTCTCCCTGCTGATGACCTGGGGCAGCACAGAGGTTGGCTGAAGTCTGCCTGCATCCACATGGGAGACCCAGAGAATGCTGGTTGCCAGCTTCCGACTGGCTCAGCTCTGGCTGTTGCAGCCATTTGGGAAGTGAATCAGCAGATGTAGGATCTTGATCTTTCTTTCTCTCTTTCTCCCTCTCTCTGTTTCTCTGTCTCTCCCCCTCTCTGTTAACTCTTTCAAGTTTAAAAAAAAAAAAAGAAAAGTACAGTAAACACCATATCACTTAAAAAAAAAGTTTAAAAACATGGTGTTCCCACTGTCCCAAATGTATTTTTTTCTATATCATCTGGAACCCTCCCCTGTTTCTTAGCCAACTTAGAATTTTCTACCGTGTTTAAAGTGCTGTCAGATCTCACAAGTTAATGTTCAGCATAGGATCCCAAAACACGAGGTACAAATCTGAGGTGGATGGCCATGGCACAATGCCACAGAGCTGGTTCCATTGCCTTCCGGTGGCTGGGCCATCCTTGAGATGACCAGGGCGGTGCACAGCCTTGTCAGCAGTGTTTCCAGCCTCCCGATGTGTCAAGGTACAGGAAGGGATGGATGCTGCATCTGGGACTAAGAGCAGGTGGATTGCAGCAAGCTAGCCCTGCCGGCTGACTGGAGAAACTACCCAGGGCAGGGCTTCAAGCCGACTCAGCTGGACACTTGCCCCCTCCGTCGGTCCCAGATCCAGCTGCAGAGCAGGGTCTGCTCCTGTGTGCTGGAGTGACAGACTGTGCTTCTGCCCTTCAGTATCCACTCACCTGCTGTCCTCTGATCCCTGCCACTTCTCATGACTCAGGCCGAGGACCTGAGACACAGATCTCCTGGGCCAGAGCCCAGCCACGAGTGCTGAGGACTTGGAAGACTGTAGGAAATGATGGTGTCCCAAACTAAGTAAAGAAGCTGCTTTAAGAGAGTAATTTATTATCAGACAGCCTTTTGTTAAAGCATTCATGGAGTTGATAATTTTGGGAATAACAACCCTGGACATTCTAGAGACCTTGAACAAACACTAGCTGGATGTCCTTGGTGGGGAACGCTGGAGCTTAGTGCCTGTGTACTGGAGAAGTGCATCACGTAGCCACACTCAGCCTTCTTTCTCTGTCCCCAGGCAGGACTGTAACACCAGCCTAGTGCGGGCCTGCTGGAACGAACTATTCACCCTGGGCCTGGCCCAGTGTGCCCAGGTCATGAGCCTCTCCACCATCCTGGCCGCCATTGTCAATCACCTGCAGAACAGCATCCAGGAAGGTAGGGCCTGGAGCATGGGGTGAGCTGTGTTGGTCCAGTCTGTTGTTGTGCAGTAAAGCCCAGTCCTTGGCTAGAGACCCAAGTCAAAGACACTTCTGAGCCAGGCTGCCTCCCTAGGCATGCAGGCTGGTCTCAGTGTCCCACCAGATCTGTCATTTGAAGAAAGCTGAACTGTTGACTCATGGGCCCATTCCCAATCCAAGTATTTGAGTTTCTGTCAGACTGTCTAGTTTCATACAGTAAATATAAACAAGAAGAAAAAAAAAAAGTCCTGCTTCCTAATGGGTTCTCAGCATTTTCAGAATTAGCAGTTTCTGTTTCCATGTGTAATAGTTTACAGATCCCCACTTCATGAAGTAAGGACTGTATCTCCTTCTGTCTTTCTCTAACTCTTTCAAAAACAAAAACAAAAACAAAAGTTTTCCCAGCCCAGAGGCCTTTGTGATGTCAGATTGTGTGTCAAGGATGGCTTCAGGCATATTTTTTTTCTAGGTTTTATTTACTTATTTTATTTGAAAGGCAGATTTACAAAGAGGCAGAGAGAAAGCTCTTCTGTCCACTGGTTTACTTTCCAAATGGCTACAATGGCCAGAGCTAAGCGGATCCGAAGCCAGCAGTTTCTTCTGGGTCTCCCACGCGGGTACAGGGGCCCAGGGCTTTGGGCTGATCTCCACTGCTTTCCCAGGCCACAAGCAGGGAGCTGGGTGAAGTAGAACAGCCAGAACACAAACCGGTGCCCACATGGGATGCTGGCACTTACAGGTAGCAGATTAGCCATCGTGTCAGCCCCCAGATAAATTAAAAAGAAGAGAAAAAACTAATCATTCACTTGCCATCTTACAAGAATTCATGTAAATTTGTGTAAGATTTGTTTTTATTTTACAGTGATAACAAAGGAGGGAAAGCGCTATCTGCCAGTTCACTCCGCAGGTGCCACAGCACTGAGGCTGAGCCGGGCAAAGCTCAGCGTGGTCTCCTACATAGGTGTTCGGCACCCAAGTACTTGCACCATCATGTTGCTTTTCCAGGCACATTAGCAAGAAGTTGGATTAGAAGTGGAATAGCTGTGGCTCAAACCAGCGTTCTAATATGGGCTGCGGGCTTCACAAAGCAGTGTAGTTTGATGCGCACAGCATACCTGGGCCATAGTGCCTGCCACTCATATGTGAGTCTTTAGCAAAAAATTAGAAGAATCAATAATGTATACCTATAAGGCAGAGAGAATGACTACTCTAAGGGTTAATTATCAAGTAGAATTTTGGTGCCCATTGCTACTTCATCAGCCTGGAAATTAGATTCTTGTTTAATTAAAAAGTGAAATCTTGCACTTCTTACTCTCTCAGGCCTCGCAAAGAAGCTGGTTGTATAACTGATACCTGCCTTTTTCAAAGGATCTGTGATGTTGCTTTCTAGATAAACTTTCTGGCGACCGGATAAAGCAGGTCATGGAGCACATCTGGAAGCTGCAGGAGTTCTGTAACAGCATGGCGAAGCTGGATATAGACGGCTATGAGTACGCATACCTTAAAGCTATAGTTCTCTTTAGTCCCGGTAAGATATGCGGTGGGGACTCGTGACACTTTTTCTCCTGTGGCTACTGATTTATCTGAGCGTAAACATGTCAAGGATAGAGCCCTGGCAGACTGTATATGACCTGGAGTTCTCCTGAGAAGTGCTTTGTTCCCTAATGTAACTATGTAGATTCTCATAAACCTTGGCTCTGTAGTCCCTGAAGAACACCAGTGCCTGGTGATGGCATGGACTGACTGAACCATCAGCCAAATTATGCCACACAAGAGAGCACACCCCCATCCAGGGGCCTTTTTTCTTCCCTTTGGTTGGTTGGGTTTAGCTCTTTGCCCACTCCCAAGTTCTGTTAGGATAGACTCCAGTCTGCACAGTTCCCCAGTCTGCGTGTGGAGGAGCCACAGTCACTGCAGGTTGTACGAAAAGCACTGCTTGTCGGAGGTGGACAGGAAGCAGCCAGGCCTTCTGGGGGAAAAGAAAGGACAGTAGGGCTGAGCTCGCTTGCTCATCCACCCTGGTCCTTCTCTGGAAGCTTCTAGGGAGGGCACGTGTGCTCACCCTTGACCTTGACCGGGTTGATACAGCTTGACCTTTCCCATCCTCCCTAATCCTACTTATGAGTAACAAAATGGCTAATAGAAAGGTGGGAGACATGTAACTGAATAGCTAAGAAGTTTTTTAAGAAATGGCTTCTAATTGCACACAGTAGCCTTAAAAGGTGTGTTTTACGGAGCAGTAGGAAGCCACAGGCCCAGAACAGCCCAGAGGGGTTGCACAGGTTGGGGTAGCCACTCCGAGTCGAGCCCCTTCCCTGAAGCCTTCAGGCCTTGGTAGCAAACAGGAGAAGCCTACTAACAGTGACATCTCAACTAGCTCAGTCTTGGCTTTTTTTTTTAAAGATTGCTTTATTTGAAAGAATTCCATAAAGAGAGAGGCAGATCCTCCATCTATTGAGCTTGAGGGCTTGAGTTCTAAGAAGTTTGATTTTTTTTTTTAATCATGAAGTCTGCAGATGAGACTATGTGAACACAGAGGGGAAATTGGGGGGTACTTTCTATTTCAGATCATCCAGGTTTGACCAGCACAAGCCAAATTGAAAAATTCCAAGAGAAGGCACAGATGGAGTTGCAGGACTATGTTCAGAAAACCTACTCGGAAGACACCTACCGGTGAGGCACATGAGCACATGCTTTGGCTTGGAGCAGGAAGAAGTGTGGCTAGAGCAGCCATGTCCTAAAACTTGTGTTGGCCTTCCCGTTGCTCCTGGCCTCTAGCGCCTCCCGTGGGTCACACTAGAGTCCCGCAGTTGGATAAAATGTGCAAGCGTCAGGCCGGACGGGCAGGACTGCCAGGTCGCCCAGTGTTCCTGTGATCCTGGGCGAGCTTCCTGGCTGCTGCTCCTCCACTTGCAGGGTTGTGGAGTCGATGTCGTGTGGTCTCTTCAGGGCTGATGCTCTAAGGCTTGCGTACCTATGGAAAATCTCTTGTCCAGAATAATTTGAGAGGTGTGCCCCTCTGCTCAGTTACTCTGAGCCCAGAGAAGGCCTGGCGAGTTGTGTTCAGGATGCACTGGCACACATTTCCCCCCAAAGGTAGATGATCTTGCTCCCTTCCCATGACCACTTGTGACCCTTTGAAAGCAACAGCTTTCTATTTCCCTTCTCTTTTGTCCCTTAAAAATATATGTTGGGGCAGACATGCCAATCCAGGAAGACACACGGTCCCACCTCCCCACCATGTCTTCTGCACAGACCACAGTAGGAGCAGAGCACCTCGGGCTCCCTCTACCTCTCCGAGAGGGGATTTGCCCTGAGACGGGGTGACCAGCTCTCTGATGCTGAGACAGTTGCCAAGCACCTGCCTGGTGTGAGACAGTTCACCTGTTTCAGCACACCTCTGTAGTCCAAGTTCAGTTCCTGTCGAGTAGGCCCTGTTGCCACTGGACTAGCAGCCCTCATGGCAAATGTAGGATAATCCAACCCCGAAATGGGAATATCACACCCAGACTGCACATATATGTAACTAGGTCTGTCAGCAAGTTGCTCTCTGCAGAAGTTGCAGGCCTAATCCCCAAGTTCCCATGGCCAAAACGTGACTGGGACTGGCCCTGTGAGCTGCTTGGCAGAACGACAGCACGCGCTAGGGAGAAGTCCTGTCCAGAAATAACTTCTACTAACTTTATATTTGCAAAAATTTCTTGTGTAATGGGGACCGTAAAATATGACAGGATTTACAACCTCTTGCTCTGTACCCTGAGGGGGCTCACACTTCCCTGCCAGTGGAAAGGTAGGTGGCTGCATGATGGGCCAACCTGTCCCAGTGTCAGTTCCTGGTTGGGTAACGGCCTGCTCACAGGACACACTCTGGATGCAGTGTCTGGTGGAGCTCCCCACCCCCTGGGCAAGGGCATGGAGTACCCTCTCACCAGGATTTCCCCAGAATTAACCCTTTCTCCTATAGAATGCTGAATGAACACTTGAAATCAGAGCTCTGCAGCCAAGGTTTCAGTGTCTGTATTTAGTGATTAGCAGTGTTTGAAATGAAGACGCTGTGCTTCAATGAATTTCCAAAATTTCTTCTTCTTGGTGGGTGAAAGACTTTGTTTAAAACATTGAAGAGAATGTTTTATAATGCCCATGTCTTATACCCTTTGTATATTTTTTCTCATGATAAATTCCTGGAAGAAGAAAAAGAGGGGGCTGGAAAGTGACTGTTGTGCTCAGTACTGCCCAGCGCAGACAGGGCCTGGGAGCTGGCACTGGGCTGAGGCTCCTGTTGTCTAACGCCGTTCCCTCTTGCAGATTGGCCCGGATTCTCGTCCGCCTGCCAGCACTCAGGCTCATGAGCTCCAACATAACAGAAGAACTTTTTTTTACTGGTCTCATTGGCAATGTTTCAATAGACAGCATAATCCCCTATATCCTCAAGATGGAGACCGCGGAATACAACGGCCAGATCACGGGAGCCGGCCTCTAGTGCAGCCCCAGCCTGCCACCAGGAGGTAATGCCATGCAGACATTCCCCGTGCTGGCCATCCCCCACCTGGTGTCCCCAGTTGACCACAACTAAGACTCGTACGACCCCTCCCTGACCCCAGACGACCGTGACTAAGACTTATAGGACCCTCCCTGCCTTGGAGACGTTCTCATGCCTTTGGATGAAGCAGACTTTGGAACAATCTTTTAAAAACTCAATTTGTATTTAGGAATTCTCAAAGGGCAAAAAAACAAAAATGAAGTTTTATAATGTCAGATTAGTATTAAAGAAAACTAAAAGAAACTAAGAGAACAGTATGTCTGTAAATATATTAAAAATGTCCTTGGAGCTAATAGCTACTAATTACCAGGGTAACAATATTAGCACTTTCTGAGCACTTCTTATCCATGTTAGCAGCATCTTGCCTGTGGGCAGGGCAAGTGGAGACTGTATGTTAGTGTTTTGCTGAAATGCTAAGGATTCTGTGAGAACTCCGAGGGTACAGGAGACAATCATTTCTGTGTAAGAGAAGGCAGCATGATTCCTAAGTGTATGCACACATCAGTGATGTTGGGCTCAATTCCTGTGACTGAGAAGGTGACTGGCATCATGTATTGCGGGGGAGTAGCACTAGTACAGGTGGGGCACCCAAACTGGAAGCTCCCCACTGTGGAGCTGGCACTTGCGGCACTTGCCACAGCCCCTGACCTGTCTAGGACTGGTGCGTGTGGGCTCCACCACAGCCTGAACTTTCTCCCTGTGGCTGCCTTCTGGGATGAGACTGCCAGACAAGGCCTGCAGCGCCTCCATGTCCATGGCAGGTGGCATCTGAGCAGAAAGCCTAAGTAGGCATTCTGAACCCTCAACAGCACTTCTGACAGGACAGGTGGCTCCGTGCTGTCCAGCCGGAAGGACATGGCCTCCTTCCCGCCCCGAAGGTTTCTGTTCTTGATGAAGGGCTCAAACCCCTGCAACCATTCAGAGCTGGGGTCTGGCCTAGGACTGTGCCACAGCAGAAGGCGAAGGTAAACAGGTTTCAGGATTTTTCTTTCCCCTGTTGACCTTAAATATTTTACAATGTCTCCAGACTCCATCTCCCTCCCGGCAATTGTCACAGCCTTTTGGCACACTGCACACTTTGGCTCCCCAATGTGTGCCCGCCTATGACCCGGGCATTTTACATGATGGATACAGAGCAGCAGGCTGCCCATTCCTTAAAAAGCCAGTCCCATGCCCAAGATGCTCATTTTGCCCAGACACAGACAGTGACCGTAAAGCACAGGAACGGCCCCTGAGCGCTCTGGATATAGATAAGCATTGGGTTTTCCATTTGAGAAAGTGACATGCAAAGACTCTGCTGAGTGAGTGCACTGTTTGCTTCTTAAGAAGGCCAGATTCAGAACCTGTATCAGTGTAAAGCTAAAGGTGCACTGCTCAACCTGTTGATTGTATGGTATGCAAAAAGGTATCAGTTCTGTCCCCTGCCTCATGGGCACTCAGCTATGGGCAGGACGGATGCTGCCAAGGGCTCAAGGCAGAATAGTGTTTTCTCCTATGTGGGCAGCACTCTGGCAGTCGCTGTTACAGACAGCGAACTGGGCAGTATCTGCAACATAAGGCCAGAATTTAACCACAGTTTATAGTTAATGTATTGAACACAAGTACTGCAGAGTGGGAGAGGTCATTAGAAATAGAGGGTTTTATTCTGCCAGTTGCAGTCGTTTGTTGTCCAAGACAGTAGCGGTTTCATTCCTGCTGGTGAGGGGCTGTGGTTTAGAGGGTGTCTAAACCTGCACAGAGAGGGGGCCTCCTTCAACTTTGATTTTTGAGCATGTGCATGTTGGCCTTGTCATAGTTCCTGGAAATGCGTGTTTCACAGCTTTCAGAGCCCAGCACGCTCAGCAGCAGGACCTGGAGGCCTGCAGCCACTCAGCACCCAGGCTCAGTTTGGGGAAAGAAGCACCTCGCCTTGGGCACGCCCGGCCCAGGATTGGTTCTGCCTTGCAGTTGCTGATTCTAACCTTGGCCTGCTTCTGCTGTCCCTTGGCTGAGGGTGGCTGACTCCAGAGCAGTGGCAGCGGGCTTTGTACTCCATTGGCTTCTCCACCTTGAAGTGACCTTGTTTTAAGGATCACATTTACAAAACCTGAATGCTTGCCTCAGATCCATCCCATCTCCTGTCAACCTGCTTCAGAAAAGCCAAACTAACCAATGAAGAGAGAACCGACAAGGCGTTTTCCCCACGTTAGTTGAATGAGACCCAGTCATGGCCACCAAGTTCTGGGCTGTTGCGCTGTGTGAGCCCACTGATGCTGCTCCAGCAGTGAGGAGAGCACGCGGGCTCAGGGGAAGCAGACGCTGCTGTCATGTTCTGGTTATGTGAGCTCTTTCCCAGAGGAATCTCGGATAAGGTTAAGTGGTTACATGTTGGAATTTGTGGAGATCACTGGTAGGAGCATAAAACAAAGACTTAGAAAAAGACCAGATTATTTAAGCAAGTAATATTTTTTAAGTCACTCCTGGAAAATGTTTTTAAAGAAGTAGTGTTAACTATCCTTGTCCTTTGAAAGTTCTCTGTGGAATCTGGAAGACTACATTCCTTATTGCCTGCTTTTTGCCGTGGGCTCTGGCTCAGGTCGCTGGGCTTCGGTGTTTGATTGCAGGTGTAGTCGTTTGCTGTATGTTACGTGCTTGCCCTCCAAAGGGCCTGCGTGCTAGCAGGGCAGTGTTACAAGCCAGGCCACCACTGTGGTGACCAAGCTAGCTGTGTGTGCTTCCGCCTGGAGCAGCAACAGCCTCACAGCGTGACACATGGACTTGACTCTTGAGTCTGGCCCTTCCCCTCTTGGGATGGGCACTTCCTACAGAGCAGCCCCACGCCCAGCCCACCCTTGCTGGCAGTTCATATCCAGTTTCTAGGGTCCTGACCTCACAGGAGCCCAGAAACTATGGGATTGTGGGTACACTCTGTCCTCTAAACCCAGGCCACAGCAGGTGTCACTGTGTGACATCCCTCTCCCAGGGAGGCCCCTGGGAATGTCTCGGCCTGCACAGCGTGCACCCACAGGCTGCCTTTGCCCAGCTCCCACTGTGTAGATGGTATGACTCTGAAAACATCCTAGCTTTGATTGATGCAGATTTCTGAAGCCAACTCGTGGAAACAGGGTTCTGGACTCCCTCATTGTGTGCCTCTGCCAGTGTGCCCTGCACATGGCCATCCCTGGGCCCGTCGGCAACATTGTGGGTGTACAGGTGTGCAGGCCTGTGTGACGGACTGAATGTATGCGTGTCTGTCTCCCCTGTGCAGTGTGTATATAGTCTGTGTGTACATAAGTGTATATGATGTATACAGCCATGTAGCCACCTCGCCAACTTTGCTTAGGTCTAAAGAGTTCATGGTAGTTGCTAAAGGGAAGCAGATGGTGTGAAAGGTCCCTCAGCAGGAAGCACTGCCGATGGTTTCCTAAACTGCTTCCCTTTGAGTGAGCCTGGCTGGGAGGGCCATGAAATCAGAATCCATTCTGCGTAAGGAAAATTCTAGACAGAAGTTCTGACAGGATGCCATTCTTGTATTTTCTCGAGGTTCAGACAAGGGCCAGGAAGTTTGGAAGTTTTTCCTAAAGCCCAAATCTAAGTGAGGACTCTTGGTCTACTTCCTGCATGCCTCTGGCCCAGCTGGAAGGAAGCTGCAGTGAGAGCCAGCACCTTGCCCAGTACGGCAGCTCTTCTGTGGGGTCCAGGGTCACAGCATGGCCTTGGCAGCAGTCCCTGTGCCCGCTCAAGACCAGGGCATTGTCCTGTGACCCATCTCCCATCTCTGATGCCGGCTGAAAAACCAACGATCCACCCAGTATTCATTTTAAATAAGCATGAGTGTTGACGGCTAAGACTTGTGGGGCGCATAGCTGCAAGTTTTAAATTGTCTAGCTGCAGGCATGCGATTGAAACCCACAGATTTCACTCCTTTCTGTAAATGGTTGAAATTGTCTCAGTACAAATTGTTATTTTTGTGCCCTTCAAACTACAGATGCCAGACTTTCCCTATCCAGCTCTTTCCTGATGAATTTTAACCCTTGATGAGGCTTTAAACTGAGACATGGCACTCAGGAGTTAGGGCTGTGGCTGGAACGTGGAGAGTCCACCCGCGGAATCACTGGCGAACAGCAAGCACTCGCGTAATCCACAGGTCACTCACGTCCTCCTTATACCAAGCTCCCGGCCGTCTGAGAGCACGTCCTGAGACCAGAGTCCTCAGTGCCTTCTGTGCCCTGGGCCGTCAGCCCTCCACTCTCCCACCTGGACGCTGAGAGAAGCTGCTCCCTGGCCTCCCCCTGCCGTGACTGGGCGAGCGTCCTCATGCCATTGCCCGTCGTGACAATCACACTGCTCAGAGCGGCTCTCCAGGTCAAACACTGAGGGAGGCGTGGTCTCCACAGGAAACCTTTCCCACATTTCTTTTGGGGCTATTTATCTTAACAGCAATCAGAAAAAGTAAAGGAATGTCATGTTTTATCCCAGCTGTACATGTTTAAGAAGCCAGTAACTTTGGTATCTCAGTATTTATACATAAAACAGAAAACAATACTCCACACTCATCAGTTGACAGACTGTGTTAATGTTTGGCTAATTTTCAGTAGATTTTTACATTAAAAACAAGCTTTTCTTAGCATTTTTTCAACAACCATCACATTCATGGACTTCAATGCTGCCGCCACGTAAAACACAAGTGCTGAAATATTTTTCTACAGTTCCTTGTCTCCCAATTAACTTGTAACCAGTGTTCAACTAGTTTTATAATGGGAAAACTGCACATTTTTCATAGTGCCGACCATAGTTTTTATCTGTAGTGTGGATTCCTCCTTTAAAAGGTAGCTGTGAGTTACCGGCCCTTTTAAAATTGGGGTTTTAGGTTTTCTTGGGACCGTTTCTGCAACCTCTGCCCTTCACAATATGAATGCCATTACATTCTAATTCCAGGTTTAAAACCTGTCAAAAGCTGTAGCTTTACACAGCGTTCTTCCCTGTGAAATCAGCTTTGTTATGTGATGGCATTTTAAAATGGCATGTACTTTTTAAGCTGAATTTTATATCTAATCAGTGTCTTCAGTCCTGAAGAAGATTTGCATTGTCATGTTTGTATATAGAGAATTGCAGTGCATGAATTAGCTTTATGCATTTTATTAAATGCTGTCTCTGTGGCATTGTGTGGCTTACTCCTCCCACCTGCGTGAGGTTTACCATTAAAGTGACTGAAAGACTAACGTGCCCCTTGCTCATTTCTCCCCAGGACAGCAGAGCTGCAGCGTGGCAGCTCCTGTCTGCAGCTCTGCCTCACGCCTTAGCAGGAGGGCCACAGCCTTCTGGTGCTCCTGCCCTGGCAGATACCACTAGTGGAACCACGAGCAGGATGAGCTCCACCCAGCAGGGCAGCACCTTGGTCTGCAGCTCAGGAAGCTTCCGGACAGGGTACAGGTGGGCTGTGGGACCCTGGGATCCAGGCCTGAGACCAGCAGACTCGGGGTGGCTGCGCCCCTGGGAGAAGCTCTCAAGTTGCTCAAGCTGGGAAGGTCTTAGTGCACTGCCACCTGCGCTCTCCTGCTCCAGCTGGACTTCAAGTCCCCAACCTCGCCCAGAACCCAGAACCCATCAGCAGAAGTTTGGGGAGCACATGGCATTTGTGAGGAACAGGCCGATTCTAACACACTCATAGTAATCTTTTCTCCTATTTATGTACATTTCAAGCCTGTTTTTCATCACAACTAAACAGGAAGAGATAGAAATTTAAGGTGGTGTTGCCTTGGAAATTTTATCTGCCATGAGGAAGGCTGGCACAGCAGGATCTGTCAACAGCCCATCACACCCATGCCAAGCCTCACACCCAAGTCTTCCATTCCTGCTGGGGTGATGGACACCTACCTAGACTGAGGCGGGGGAGTCGCCCCCACCAGGAAGGGGTACTCTTAGGGGTCACCTTAGCTATGGGGACCAAGATGGTAGCAGTGAGGACCAAGGAGCATAGGGCAAAGAAGCGATCAGCTGGGTAGGCGTGCAGGAGTTATGTGGGCAGTTAACAGGCAGAGCAGCCCCGCAGCCCCACAGACCCTAGCCGGGCTCACATACCCCTGCCTCCCCCAGAACCCCATAAACCCTCACCCTTGAACATGAAACCACTGTCAACCAGAACTTCAGCATCCATGTGACAGGCTCCAAATCCACCTCGTCTCCACAGTTAGAGCACCACAGTTCCCATCGTGGCACTGCCAGCTGTCTGTCCCCACTAAAGAGAAGGCACCAGATAAGAACCCAGAGCTTGAGCACCCCGTCCCAGGCCACAGCACCCTGTCATTCCTGCCGCCCCTTCCTGATCCTGTAACCACTGTGCACGATGCTCCCCCCGCCCAAGTCCAGCCTCCCTAGCAGAGCTTAGTTACGCCGGCCCTGTGGGTTCTGCTGCTTTCGGAGAGCTGAAGGCAAAGAACAAGAGACAGTGCGACAGTAACGTCACTAACCTCTCCCAAGTCTCCGTCTCCAGGGCACAAGGTGGCCGCAGGCACACACCTGAGCTCCCAGCCAGTGACCCCCCTTGCCACCAAGAAGGCTGGCACCGGCAGTATGAAAGGTCCACATGGCACCAGGAGTCGCCTTCAGGTTCTGCACCCAGTGACCTCAAGGGAGGACTGGCCACACTGCCTGCTCGAGCCACCCAACATGGCAGCCCTTGGACTCTAAAGGAAGAAGCGCAGGCTGCAGAGCCATGGCCTGTACCTTCCCTGGCCAGCCTCTGGCCACACCACTGACTGACGTGGCCAGTCAGCAGCTCAGCTCCAGACACTCGCCTCATTCTGTAACAGAACCTTTTATTGCAAAAAGGTTTCCAGCAAGTTCGAGAGAACCTGGGGCCATAAGAATCCCATTCCACCTGCCATTCCGCTAAGGTCAGAGCCGCCACTCCAGGCAGAGGGGCCCTGGCCTCAGTCCTGGGCACTGGCCTTCAGAGCAGCTTTGTACTTCCCTGTCATCTCCTTGGGTAATGGAACCAGGCCTGGGCAGGGCACCTGCCCTTCCACCTCACACATGCACTCCCGCAGGCAGTACTTCCGGGGGCCAAAGTTGGCTGGGTGAGAGAGCTGCTTTTTCTCCTGCTCCTCTTTCTTGAGGGTTTCCCTGGCAAAGGGCAGAGACAGCACCAAGCATGAGCAGCAGGGTGAGGGCCAGTGGGCAGAGCCAGGGAGACCTGGATCTTGAGCCTTCTAACCCTTCTACTCCAGGAGCCTCTACCCCAGCCTCCCCGTCCCCACCACCACACACATTCCCGAGACTAGGAGGAAGGCCTGTACAACAAGGGGGAAGGGCACTGGGAAGCATCTGCCTGCTGCCTGGCCTACACAAGAACAGCCCAGTTAATGGGGACAACAGGCCCCTGGAAATGCTCCCCAGGGTTCCCCAAGGGTACTTCTGGGCTTCCTTCCCTTTCTCCCCTCATGGGAGGCATAGGGGACGATCCACGTGGGGGTGGGGGGCAGGGTAGACGTCTGCACATCCCAAGAAAAGCAGCACAGAGTCCCCAAGAGAGAAGCACTCTGGCCTCCCGCCAGTACCCCTCTCCCCCTGCACTGCCAGGGGCGCTCAGGCTGTGAGGCTGTGGGGAGGGCGGCCAAGCCAGAGCGGAGGCAAGGCAACGGCCAAGGCTGTTCGCACCCACAGCCTGTACAGGCCCAGCCCAGTGTGGGTCCCCTCCAGGGTCACCCAGGCAACTCACTCGCTCTTCCCCAAGATCCTTCGGATGTGTGCCATAATTTCCTTATTGCTCTTGGTTTCCACGTCCACCAGGACCTGCTCCCCAGAATCTGGAAACAGACAAGGAACAGGCTGCTCAGTGCACACCCGCAGACTGCATAGGGATGCAAGAGCAAAACACAACAGGACCCCTGAGCAGCCCTATCTCCTCCTCCGCCATGGAAGAACTGAAGCTTAGAAAACTTATAAAGGCATGTACAATTCTTAAGATTAAATTTTTAAAGATTTATTACTTTTATTGGAAAGTCAGATTTAGAGACAGAAGGGGCGAAGAAAGATATTCCATCCGCTGGTTCACTCCCCAGTGACTGCGCCAGGAGTTTCTTCAAAGCCAATCAAAGCTGGCAGCTTCTTCCAGGTCTCCTGCACATGACTGCACAACCCAAAAACTGAGGCCATTTGCTGCTGCTTTCCCAGTCACCGCAGTGAAACAGCCAGGATACAACCCAGCACCAGCACAAATGGGATGCTGGCACCACAGGGCAGGGGAACAGCATGCTGCACCACTGTGTTTGCCCCAAAACCATGTGTGATCTTACCAGAAAGAACTTAAATCCATAGATAGCCTCCGCACTAAGCATCCCCCCACAACTGATCTGGAAAAACAATGCATTTCCCATCAGCCTCACAAACATAAACCGACCCTCAAATTGATCAGAAACACAAGGGACCCGAAATAGCCATAATGATTTTCTAAAGGAGAGCCAGAGGAGAGAAAGCCCTTTGACCCTTTAGTTCACCCCTGCAATGGCTGCACTGGCCAAAGCCAAGAGCCTGAAACTCAACCCTGGTCTCCCACATGGATGCAGGACAAGGACCAGTCACTGTCTGCTGCTCTTGCACGCTATTAGGAACTGGAAACTTCTATACTCAATAGGACACCAGCCTGCAGACACACCCATCTGACCTCAGTGGAGAGGCCGACACACCCCAGTGAAGACAGGTGTAGGGACAAGCTGTGCTCCACATGCAAGAAGCAAAACACTCTGCCCGGGCCTGGCAGCGTGGCCTAGCAGCTAAAGTCCTTGCCTTGAACACGCCGAGATCCCATATGGGCGCCAGTTCTATTCCCAGCTGCTCCATTTCCATCCAGCTCCCTGCTTGTGGCCTGAGAAAGCAGAGTAGGACGGCCCAAAGCCTTGGGACCCTGCACCCACGTGGGAGACCTGGAGGAAGTTCCTGGCTCTGGATCTGCACAGCACCAGCTGTTGTAGTCACTTGGGGAGTGAATCATCGGACAGAAGACCTTCCTCTCTGTCTCTCTTCTCTGTATATCTGACTTTACAATAAAAATAAACCTTTAAAAAATAAACACTCTACCCTGCAGCACAAAAGAAAGACCTGACGACCCCAGAGACCTCAACAGAAGAGGTGAAGTGTCTGTAAACCTCCACTTAGGCAAACCTAAGGGAAAATCAGCGCTCTACCTAAGCATCTTCACACACATTTAAAACAACCCATGAAAAATCCAAAGTTGGGCCTGACACAATGGCTCAGTGGCTAAATCCTCACCTTGCACACACTGGGATCCCATTGGGTGTCTGTTCATGTACTGGCTGTTCCACTTCCCATCCAGCTCCCTGCTTGTGGCCTGGCAAAGCAGTCAAGGACGGCCCAAAGCCCTGGGACCCTGCACCCGCGTGGGAGACCTGGGGGCGGCTCCAGGCTTCGCATTGGCCACTTGGGAAGGGAACAAAAAGAGGATGGAGGATCTTTGTCTCTCCTGGTCACTGTATATCTAACCTTCTGCATTTCCATTGAAAATAAACCTTTTTAAAAAAAGAAACTCATACCCTTCAGATCAAATGTAACTGGCCAAAAAGCATATGACACAGCACCACGAGTCTGGTGCTGGGTAAGGCACTCCCTTCTCAGAGTGCTCTGGGGCAAGTCCTGGCTGGGCTCTGGGGTCCACCTTCCTGCCACTGCACACCCCAGGAGACAACAGGTGATGGCTCAGGTCTTTGGGTCGCTGCTACCAGATCCAGACGAAGCTGCAGGCACTGGAGGTCAGGGACAGCACATGAGAGTTCTGTCCCAATAAAGACAGAAAGACTTGGAGGAAACAAAGTGAAGCTTCACTGAGGGGGCCAATATTGTGGCCCAGCCCAGCCAGCTGCCACCTACAAAGCCAGCACGCCCCAGCTACTCTGCTTCCCATCCAGCTCCTTGCTAACATGCCTGAGAAAAGTGCAGGCCCCCTCCACCCACATGGGACACCCAGTTCCAGGGTCCTGGCTTCCCCTTGGCCCAATCTCAGTCACCTGGCCATTTGAGAGTGAACCAGCAAATGAAAGACCTCTCAGTGTCTCTCTTGCTTTCTTTAGAGCATTGCCTATCAAGTAAATAAAACAACAACAAGAAATCTTCAATGAGAAAAGCCTACAGAGGGCCTGGTGGCATGGCCTAGCAGCTAAAGTCCTCGCCTTGAATGCGCTGGGATCCCATATGGATGCCGGTTCTA